CTGTATAAACATTTGTACTTCATAAATTGAAACATAGCTGTTATCATAGTTGAATAGTTGTTATCACATTGAAACATAGCTGTCATCACAGTTATTATTGCAGAAAACAAAAATGTTTGTTATATTATTGTAGAAATATATAGATTTTAAACGAAAACATAATTATCATCACAGTTTTTTTGTTATTAATATTACTTTAACTTCATGTGTTAAAAAAAATTTTAATACTGAATTGTTTATTTTTGCAATTCTCTTTGTAGTATGTGATTTTTTAATAACAATTCTTTTTCCAATAATTGTACTTCTAATTCTTTTATCTTCAATATTCAAAATTTGTACTTCAACTTTACTTTTTATTTTTAAATCTTATGTCATAAATTCTACGAGCTCAGCCTTCGATTTTGCCAGAACATTAAATCTTGAACTTATATTGTTTTTCCTTTTCTTACATAATGTGTAATGATCATTAACATTTTCCGAATCGTATTGATTGTTTGAAAACTTTCGTCTCCTTTGAAGCATCACACTCATACTCTTTTTCTCTTCTCTACTGAAACTATTTCCAATTTATACCTTGTTCTTGTGATTTTTGTGCAGCAGAGCTTTCTCTTTACAATAGTTTTCAATATCATTCACCAGCTACAACAATATATATAATTTATGTATATGATGTACCTTCTGTGATATCTATATGTGTATAACATTGACACATATTTCATTTATATTTTGATCTTCATTATTACCATTTTCATTATTATAATTAGTATTTCCATATATATTTGGTATATTTTCCAAATCGTATTGATTATTTGAAAACTTACTTCTTGTTTAAGTTAAAGTGGCATACTTATTTTCTTCTTTAATATCTCTATTGCAGTTATTTTTGGTTTATGTCAGTTTATTTCTTGTCCTTGTAATTTGTGTGTCAGCTTTTTCTTTAGAATATTACTTTTCAATATTATTCACAGACTGCAACAATGTATATTATTTTTATTTTAAACATAAATACACACACACACACACATACATAGAGAGGGGGGGCGAAGGGAGAGAAGGAGGGAGGGAGGATGGATGAATGTGTTTCTGCTAGATTTCATGGTTTTAAAGGAAATTTAATTCTGAACAAAAATATCGAAAACATCGAAAAATGCTTTTTTTAAAAGTTAATGCTTAAAAACTTCTCTCAAGCAGATGGAAATTCGTCGTGACATTGTGTATTATTATTTCCAAGTTCTTCTTTCAAACACGTATAATAATAATCATCATATATAAAGATATAAATTTAAAAAAACATTTCTTATCTGTCACAGTATCACTATCAAAAGTATTTGTTAAACCATCAATTGAAGGCTTTATAATATTTCACGTTCCATAGTATCTGATCGAGATTCATAAGATCCTCCATCTACAACATTAATATTATATTTTACATTTTCATAATGCATAAAATTAAAATTTGATATAAAAATTTGATATAAAACTTTTGACATCTAAAAAATAATTGTCAAAACGATTATTAAAATTATTACTTAAATATTACTTTAATAGTATACAAAATTAAAATGAAAACATGAATCATTTTTCAATATTGGAAAATTCAATTAATAGCATACTTTTATATACATCTGCTTGCTATTAATTGAATTTTCTAATATTGAAAAATGATTCATGCTCCTCCTCCCTCCTTCACCCCCTCCTCTCCCCCTCTTCCTCGCTCTCCCTCTCCCCTTCACTGACTCTATGTGCAATGTGCCGAAATTATATTCACTCCAGAAAAGTCTCCAATTGTTATAAGAAATGATTTCGTAGCGTAAATACGGAGAGCTAATAATAATTGCTCTATAGGAGATACTGCCTTATTTCTTAAAACAAATTATTTTTATCAATTAAAAATTTTTAATTTATATTTGTAATTGTAAATATTTGTAAAATAATTTCAGAAAAAATTTTATTTTTTAGTCTCGAATTCTAATTCATCTCTAATACTTTCTAAAACTTCCAACATTGATGCTTTACTTACTACAATTGAAATCGCATTTCAAACTCGATATTATTTAATTTCTCAAAATAATATGTTGTTTAAATCTTCTCTCTCTTCTATTAAATTGTTCAGTAATATCCTCGTCATCGGAAGGTAACAGTACAAGGTTATATACCATGTTTGATACTAATAATATTTCTTAATTTCGCAGTTCAACTACTTCTAAACGGCCAAAACTGGCCGTTTAATTTAAACTTAGTTTATTATTACTTACGTTTAAAGACACAGAAAAAAGTTGATAGAAACTAATATTGGGTCATCTAAAAAGTATCCGCGGTTTTTTGTCACTAGATGGTGTTGATGGTCATATATCATAGTGACAAAGTACCGCGAATACTTTTTAGATGACCCAATATCTTGCTAAACTTTGGTTAATCAAATGTCACTAGGGATTAACTATTTAAACTGCGTTGATAGAAATGGGTTTTTTTTCACCAATTCTGATTAATGCTAATCAATAATTAATTCAATCATCACGACTGCTAACGTAAGAACTAAACACAGTTTGTCTCAGAAGAGGAAGAGAGAGCAGATGTACTGATACATTAAACTGTTGGCACTTCTGCGAGTTGATCGTCGATTAATTTAACTAAAAGTTGGTGAAAAAGGTCCTTAGTATATTATTGTTTACTTTTATTTTAATTTATTAATATATATTGTATTTATAACATCTATTTTTGACTGATTATTGACATTTTCGTACATATTTATGTATATTATTTATACGGTCGTACTTATTCTTAATATATTTTAATAATATACATCAAATTCGAAGAACACGAACCTATCACGATCAAAGTTAGATGTTTCAAATAATACAATATATATTCATTTTAAATGAATTTTATTTCAGATAAGATTGAGCGCCGATAACTTTCAGACTTTTAATATAATCAATTTGAAACGCTACTAATCCTCTCTCTTCTAAAATTAGAAAAACTGTAAAGAACTTATAAGATTTAAGATTTAATAATATAAAAAAATAAGTATTTGACAATCTTCTTGATGCTTCCATGGGTGCTTTCTATATAACTAATCTGTGCTTCGCGGGTTTTCTCCATGTCTTGGTCCATTCTTGATGTGCCAACATTTCGTGGGCCTTGCAGTCCACTTCATCAGGGCGAGGAGCAGCCTGATACTGAGCTGTTCCTCCAGGTCCTTCCTTTTTATGTTACGCTACTTGTTAAGATGGGAGTTTTTTGGTGGTGGAGGGAGGGGGGGGGGGTTGGGGGGTGGGGGGA